AAAAATCTTACCTCCATTAGGAGTATGAGAGTCAGTTCCGATGAGCAGGAGTCCAGGGAAAGCATAGTTTTCTAAGATGATCTGATGGATGATTCCAGACCCTGGCTTCCAGAATCCGACACCATACTTGTTCCCTGCCGATTCGAGGAAGCTGTATACTTCTTTGTTGAGATCCTATTATGACAAACAGTTAGGCATTGGTAATTTGTGCTTTTGTAATAACACATACAACCACTTAATATAAATTTGATCACTACCGAGAGACATTACTTACCTTTGCTCTAACGAGATCCGCTTCACCTCCTTTCTGCGCTTGGATCAAATGGTCGCAATGAATAGTTGACGGTACAGCAGTCTTAAAAGACACTTATGATCCACAGAAAAAGAAGTACCACTGACCTAACACAGGGCCAATTAGAAGAAACACTCCTAAGATTCAGCCTCACTTTTGGTAATCCTGACGAAATAAACTGAAGCATTGCCATTTGTGCCGTTGCGTCCTGCATTGCCACACGATCCGGTCGCAGCCGCAGGTAGGAAACCCCACGTTCAATATGTTCAGTCGCTGGCTGATCCAAGTGGCCATATAGAATCTTCTCAGATAAGGTAAGCGGCCGCTTCAGACTGAAAAAGAACAGTTTGCCAACGTAAACAAAGAATTCATTTAGAATTCATCAAACTTTATAATGCCATTTATAATTGCGGTAGCATTTGATGCCCCTTAGCCTGTGCAGTCAATCAACTCGAATGCCAGTCTAGTGATTGCTCCCTGGTTGGCACAGCTAAAAAAATTCGAGTTATGATTCCTGAATCATTCGGGGGAGCGATGCTCTTAGGTGCTCTTAACCCCTACTACCTCACCACTAGGTTTATGAGGGTAGGTCTCGCGTCCGAGTTAAAGTATTAAATACAACTACACCATAATACTCGTAGACGATGTTTTACATTCGGAGACATTGTTCGAATTGCTTTTGTCATTGCTTTTGATCAATAGTCCAAGTCAAAAAAAAGTTGTTCACAAAAATGTTACGGCAGCAAAGGGCAAGCCTGCATCACATGGTGCACAATCTCCGCCAAACAAACAGAATTCTCTCCGAATCAATCAATCTTTCTTCCCAGAATTTTTCATTCTGACAATGCTTCACTCCCCCTCCTCCATTTCTCCTCCATACCATTACCGCTGTCCCCACAATGAAACACTCGGATGCAGTGAAGGTGGAGTGGATTGGTTCAATGGATTTAACTCAAAAAGTCCCGGCCACATAGCGGACCGCAAATTTGATGAGGACGAGTGCCGCCGCGAAATTCTTCACTTCGTATGAGCATGAGGAAACTTGAAAGCCGCGGCTCGTGAATACGTTCATTTCGAGGCATGCCTACTACAGCTCCCCGAAAAACTATAAAGTAGTGAAAAATAGTTTACTCTTTTAGGGTGACTAAGCGATTTAGCATCATCGGCGAAGGTTGTCTTTCACTGCGGTAGCGATTCGCTTCCTCAATGAAAGGCAACCTTCAAGTGATGCTAGAACTGTGAGGCTTTACAAAGGTTTCCAGTCAAAACAACTTAACAACTGAAGCAGGAGCCAAGCCAAAAGTGAAATAGAGTAAAGATTGACTTCAAGATACCTTTTGTAAAATAGAAAGAATTCTGAAAAAGAGCAAGATAAAGAGCTGTGATGCTTGAAGAGCGTCACAGGAAAACTACTATACCCAAAACGCTTCTTACGTAGGACGTGGCTGCACTTCTTTATCTTTCTACACACAACTTATCAGCTATAAATGAGGTAGCTGCGGTTTTTGTCCCGTTTCATCAGCACTGTTGATAAGGCAACTGGTGCGATATCGGTTACAAATTCGGCCAATCGATGCGAGTGCATCCATTATCTCGCAACGGAACGTCACAGGAAAGTGTCCAATCTGACAGCAAAAATTACTCCACCAACAGTAGCAGTGGAAGTGGCAATGGGGCTAAAAAAAAGCTGCTACCTACGTTAGCATTCCATTGAAAACGACCATTTCTTTCAGGAAAATCCCCTGAACATTTTCCATCCACCAACAACGACGTCAACGACCAGGTATGAATCCTTAGTTTTGTTCTTACTTCTGACCTTCTTCTTATACCTGTTATATAGGCGATGCCCCTAAACTGAGTGCCGGGAAATCGGAAGGGAAGCTCTGAAGAACAACACAATTTCGCAGCAAAACCTAGCAACTGTGTGAGTTGCCCTCCGCATTATAGTCTTGGGAGAATGGAATACTTGGCTAGCTACTCGTGAAACCTTCCGTAGTATTGATGCCGAGCAGCCACTCAAAATTGTACTGCCGTGTGGAATGTTGAGGGCCGGATCGATGTCATGGTAGTTGAAAGCCGTTTGCTTTGTAAACTTCAAAGTACGTAGAGGACGTTTGTGAGCAAACTTGATCACTCAAGATGAAATCGAAATTATCCAGGAATCAAAACGTAGGCAAAAGTTAGTGTATCCTTACAGCAGCAATCGACGATTGGACTACGACTGTTACATAAAAAAATTGACAAAAAACCCACCGATCTCTAACAATCTTCACATTATGTGATAACTTCTCGTACGGTAAATACACATCCTTCTCGAATTTACTTATAGGAACGTTTGCCTGAACAGATACAACTTTTGAAGAGGAAGCAACTCAGCAACTTAGCTTGAAATATGCAAGGCAAGATACCTGCCAAGTTGCGGACATATGCAGGCATCGGAGATGCATAGGCCCTGCAAGCCGACTTAAACGTAGGACATGCATCTGAAACCAAATGAAATCGTGGGAACTATCAACTTGTAACAGGTAGAGGACAAGGGATAACAATGAGTTCTGCACATATTCGAAGGTCTTCGGACAACAAAAAGAGCGATTTTGGGATAACTGAGTAAATACGCAACGTTAAAAGAGTGACGTCCCTCATACTTCCGTATTTTGAAAGAACAAAACCAAAGCAACGTATACCCTGAACATTGAAGACCGAAACTCTCTATTTTACAACCAGCTGGAACGAACTACCGGGAAATCCAGTCCTTGTTTAGGATTAAAAGACACTAAGACAGAGCTCTTGACAATTCTATCCTATTATCAGAACAGGACAAGTTTCGAGGTCAGCAGTGAAAAGTGGCGCCCAACCACAGTCGCCCGTATCAGTAGATATGGGCGATTGAACACCGGAACCAGCCATAAAACAGGACCGCCCGTCAAAGTTAAAGGGCCGCCGTCGATTCAGTGCATTGAGACCCGCAACGGAGAGAATCCGACCGTATGCACGTTGTCCATTTCGTGAGCCATTTTCTATTCTATCTAGGTTTTTCGCGTAATGATGTTCGACGTGAAGACTCCTGCTGGACTCGCAGCTTTTGACGAAGCTCTGCACACGCAAGCCTTCGCCACAGGGTTTGTTTCATTTGCTGTCTAACGATTTTTTTCAAAACCGAAAGTATATAGGTGCGACTCCTTGTTCTTAGCATGTCAGTAATTTGTTTGGCGTTTAAACAGGAAATTTTCGGAGAGCAAAGTTTCCTTGGTTTCATTTACCCATAGGAAAGTGTGTCACGGAAGGAACTAGGGTCAAGTGCATTCGTTTGCCGGGAGATTGAGGCTTCTTGAAGGGAGAGCAATTGTTTCGTCATTTTCAATGCATGTTTACTTTAACCTACACACATACATTAAATGTAGGCCCTTTATCAGGACAATCCCAGTTGGGAAGACAGAGAAAATTTAAAGGGATTTTCGTCCCCTAACCCTTCGGGGAAGGATAGCTTACGGCCCC